CACTACCTCCNCAAATTCTTCTACTTGAGACCTTGCACTGGATCAAGACAGCCTGTACTCTCTGACGCACTTAAGCGGTGGATTCAAGTGATAGACATGTATGACTATCAGCTTGATCGAATCAAGGGAGAGTACAACAAAGTGGCTGATGCACTGAGTTTGGCATATCTAACAATCTCACTCGATCATTGGTGGAATGTCTGAGATCATCCGTAAATTCCAAGCTGAGGACAAAGTGACTTCAGATGAATTTAAGATGGTAGACGACTTGCTGTTTCTTGAGAAGGCAGGGAATAAAAGACTGTGTTCCTAATAGAGAGTCTTTGCGTAGTTTATTTTTAGGAGAGTGCCATGATGCAGCTGGACATTTCGGTTATAGGAAACTGTCAGCTAACTTGGTACAAAAATTATGGTGGCCTTCTATGATGGAAGATGCCAAGAAGTATGTCGAAACCTGCCAGGTTTGTCAACGGGACAAACCCAGGACTCAGGCTCCTCATCAAGCCCTTGCCGATTCTTGAAGGTCCTGGTCAGAGTGTGTCCACGGACTTCATGGATACTCTTGTGACCAGCAGGTCTGGGACTCCATGGATCTTTGTTATAGTAGACCGCTTTTCTAAGTATGCAAGACTAATAGCTATGCCTGAAACTGCCAAGACTGATTACGTCATCAGACTGTTTATGGATAATTGGGTACGGGATTTTGGTTTACCTAAGTCCATAGTCATTGATAGGGATGTTTGCTTTACTAGCAAACTGTGGCAGAACACTGCCCAACAGATGGGAACCAGACTGCAAATGACATCAGGGAATCTCCCTGAGTCAAATGGACAGGCGGAACAGATGAACAGAATAGTGCAGCATTTACTAAGGCACTACATCAAGCCAAGCCAGGATGACTGGGACGAGAAACTGCCTCTCGTCTCCAGCCTGTACAACAACATTGTACATAGCGCTACTGGCATGACTCCCAACCAACTGCATCTTGATTGGAAGCCCTGTTCCGCCCTTGATTTCCTACTCCCTGAGAAACAGGCCACTGCAGCACCAGGTAGCGTCGAATTTGCTGTCAAATACGAACAGATGCTGCAGCAGGCCGTTGAGCACATGAGGAAATCTCAAGATGCTATGATTGCATCTGAGAACAAACACAAATGGCCTTCTAACTTTCAGGTAGGGGACAAGGTCTGGGTAAAGTCATCTGAACTGGGACAGGAACTGGGAATACCCAGAAAATTAATGCCACAGTACTTCGGTCCCTGGGAGGTCCTAGACATAGTGTGGGATCAGGTGGACGGACCTTCTTATGTGATTCACGTCCCACCTCATCTACGTACACACCCAGTTTTTCACGCATCCAAGCTGGCACCTTTCGCAGAGACTGCACAGTTTCCTTCCAGACGGTCAATGCTGCCCCCAACCATGGATGGCGAAGTCGACATCGACGGAATCGTAGAGCATCAAGTGATGCCAAAGCCTAAACCGCCGGGCAGAGGCCGCCCTCCTAAGCCAAGAATGCAATACCGTGTGAGATTCAAACATCATCTGGATCCCAAGGAAGATCGGTGGTTCACCAGAGAAGAACTCGTGCGAACAGCACCCCAAGTTATTGCAGGCTATGTAAGAGAACTCAAGGGGAATATGCATGCAGATTAGAAGACTTCTCAGAGGATTCTCGAAGAAAAGGAGGAGGGAATGCGAGGATCTGGGTCCTCGGCAGGCCTAAGGGGCCTCTTGCTGCAGATGTGCCCGCCCTAAGTGAAGGCAGGCCTAACAAATCACGAGAGGCCCTAAGCTGTCAATATCGTATATGGGGTCCAGACAGTTTCGTTGCGCAAGTTGGTTGAGGGAAACACAGGCCGAGCAGCGAGACATTCCACGGCCTTCCAGGCCTTTCCAAAATGATGCAGGCCCTGAACGAGAATCGCAGGCTCATACATAGACAGTTGGGAGGCCCAACCGAATGAGGCCCAATAGCTGCAACAGAGCACAGCATCCTGGGGCCTACTGGAAGCTTCTGGGCCCAGGCCCAGGCCAGCCAGGCTGCGAAGGCAGGCAGGCTCTTTCCATATAGGAAAGAGCTCGCTGCCTGGAGCCTCATTCAGCACATGCATGCTGGCGGCAGAGCTGCTGGAGCGGACGCTCGTGGGCTGCTGCTGGCGCTGAGAGGCAAGGTGCTAGCGCGTGCAACCGTGCAGGGAGCAGGGCGCTGCTGAGGGCAGCGCCATAGCCCAGCCTCCATAGCTGGATGGGCTTGGACTACAGTGAGGCGCAGTGGTGGTCTTCGGATGTACAGAGGGAAGACGTGGGAGTAAGTCAGGGGAAAGAGAGAAGGATGATGATGATGATGATGTGAGGGCACATACCTCGTATTGGTGATGGTCTGTATTGGGCGACATCTTCAAGCTCTTTGTGGGTTGCTGATGTCAACAGTTGTATTGTCAATTAGTAGGCAGATTGTAGCTGTGTAGGAAGTAGGCTGGGCGCCGAGCGCCAAGCAGGGAGATAGGGCCTAAATACTCATGTTGGTGGTGGCGAGAGCAACCTCTCATTGACATTGGTTTTCGCAACTTTTCAGTATTACGATTCTCCATTGGTGTGATATTGGTGCTTTCTGCTTTCCGGACTCTGTGATACTATCTGGCCTTCAATGTGATTGTGCATTCTGGACATTGTCATCTCGCTATTGCTCATTTTCCTTGCATAAAGCCTTAAAGAAAAAATGGACTGGAGTGTGTGCAAAACTGAGTCTTTTAGCCTTCTGACGCCAGCATTTTCCATCTGGTAGGCCCGGCCTGCGTTTTTTTGGCGGATTAGCTGTCGCTGGAACAAAACAGCTGGCAATTCTTTTTCTTTTTTTTTTAGAGTGCCCCCGCCAGTGTTAGTGGTGCTGATAAGAGCAGACACCACTAGTACCTGGGGAGAGGCTCCATCTATTGGTGGGGAGCGTCACCTGCAGGAAAGCGGGTCGAGCGTCCCATTTACATACTGAATTCAGGGCGCACCTTAGAGAAAACCAAGGGATTGACTGAGCAGGGCCGGAAAGGGAGGAGAACCTCTTCAGCCAGAACCGGGGGGCAGATGTTTGCAGCTACGCACTAGTTCCTCCCTTCCTCTATCAGACCCAGTCCCAGCTGTCAATTTCTTATAATGCCTGATAATGACTGGATTTAGGCTGCTACTGTAAACTCCAGTTGGTTCTTTTCCTGTAGGTTATGGCAAAACGTCCCTTCCTCAGTTAGTGATTGTGGGTTCTCAAGTAAACCACCGGTACAAGGGGATTCATCGGCCGCCGGCCCCTCACCGCGACTTTTGGAGGCCGGAAAAGCAACTGAGGCCGTTGATGAATTTACCAACGGCGGCCCAGTCCCGAAAGTTGGAGTGCTACAGGAGTACAGTGGGGTGGCGACGAGTTCCATTTTCTGCAAGGCAGGGGCTGTGGACTGGCGGTTTAAGCTAAGTCAGTTAAAAGTTTTCCAAACGTTCAAAGTTTCCAAGTCCCACACTTTGAAGCTCAAAACTTGAAAACCACTTAAAAATCTCCAGCCTCTGACTTTGAACTTGAGAAAAAAAAGAACTTTTGCTGATGATGACCTTTTTCCAGCAAACTAATCTCTTTCCCAACTTCCCAACCTTCAACCGTGCAAGTACACCACCCAGGCTTACTTTAGAGTAAAAAATGAGTCATTCTAGAAAGTTAGGGGACTTGCCCACTGGTGCCGCGCGGGACAAAAATAAATTTCCGCCCGCCCCAGGCCCGTATAGATTTTGATCCGTACTTCCGGGCTTCAGGCCCTGCCCGCGCACATGGCCTCGTACCGGTACCCTCCTTAGCCACAGGAACGGACGTCACTTAGGCCCGGCCTGGGGTGAGTCCCCTAACTTTTTGTAATGACTCATTTCGCTTCCGAAAAACGAGGCTCGGATGTACTTGTGGTTTCAAACCTCTGTTTACGGCTGCGGATGATGATGATGATGGCCTTTTCCAGCAAACCAGTCTGTTTGCTGTCCAAGTTCTGAGGCTGCAAATATGAAAGTGGAGTTTGACATTTTTTGTTGATCATCAAGCCGTTCGCTGTTTTACCGTCGGTAAGAGTACACTCACACTAGGCCCTCAAAATCACAAACTCGCAAAATGAGCGGCCAGATACAGTCACTCCTTTACAAGGACTCAATCTGGCCGCTCATTTTGCGATTTTGAGGGCCTAGTGTGAGTATGCCCTAAATAATAAATAGTAAATACCATGACATTCAAACGATGTGTTTTCTAAATTTTCTCTCCATCCATTGAATCCATCACAGCTGAATCACCAATAGCACAAGGGAAACAGAAGAGCACAACAGTGAACCGCAGGTTCTCATCGATGTGAGAAGAAGTGTGGAAATAGTAAACTCAATACACAGTAGGAGTAATCCAAATACACAGCAATCACATGCACGTCAAGTAGAAAGTACACAGAACACACTGAGTACAAAATCGCTGTCCCAGATTCAATACAGAGCCTACATACCTTTAAAAAAAAAGCTGCATTACCAACTGGGCCGCCGGGGTCACCTTGGTTGCCCAGGCGGACTGCCCGGGCAAGGGGCCAGGGAAGGTCCCTGCAGGGGGGAGGAGGGGGGGGAGGGGGAGGGAATCCAGAAGAGAACTATGTTGTGCAGAAAAGTAAACCGAACTACTTTGGACTCAGGGTCACATCGAAATTTTTTGCCAAATATGTTACTTTGATTTTACTTCTAATTCATTTTGGCCCCGGGCGGGCAAGTGGTCCCGAGCCACTCTGGTAACGCAAAGAAAAATATTATTGATGTCATATCATTCAGAGGAAGGAGAAGTTGTAACAAGGTTTCCGTAGGTGAACTTGCCGGAAGTTAAAAAAATCAATAAATCCAAGGACATAAATCTTGCAATACCAGTACACTGTAAATGGCAGGCATGCAGGCATCCATCCATGCACATGCAATAACTTTGTGAGTTTTCCGGCTCGATGGTAACTCACCTATTCATGAATTCTTGATACCGCTTTTGGCCACTCAGTTGATTCTCCAGCTCACTGATTTTCTTTCTTGCATCCACCAAAGTCTCAGGAATTCCCTTTGCACAATTCGGACACCTTTCTTTAGCCTCTATTCGTCTGCATGACAAACAGAGAATGGACCAGATCCATGGAATGGCACAGAATGAATAGGCAACATTAGGCATCATCATAACTTGTTTAGCGGCTACAGGAGAAGTCCATTGTGGCACGCGTGCCAGATGCACGTGTGGAGATGGGGGGGGGGGGGGGGGGGGGGGGGGGGGGGGGGGGGGGGGGGGGGGGGGGGGGGGGGGGGGGGGGGGGGNGAGAGAGAGAGAGAGAGATGGACACACACGGAGGCAGCAGCTGAACATGGGACCGTCCAATCGAATCGATAAATTGAAACCATAACAATAAATGAAAGGAACCAAACGCCTGGCCCGGGCCTAGGCCGAAGTGCTATACCGGCCTAGGTCCAGGTACCGGGAAAACCAGTGGTGCCGGACCAGGATCAGGCCAAAGGCCTGAAACTGGACCGGCCTAACTGCCGGGCCTTCGGGGGATCGCTACAGAATCCCTGGACCTGTGAATGGATCAAATGATACATCAAACACGATATCCGCTGAAATAGCGGAAACCCAAAAGGAACGGCAATAAAGAACAATCCTAAATGCTGAGCAAGCTCCATGCAGGAAAAAGAGATGCAATGCAGACTAAGTCTCAAGCCTAATCTGAAGGAGCAATGTATGGTCTGAGTCGACCTAGAAGGGAGAAAAATGTCTGACCTGTGTTGGCCAAGAAAGAGCAAAATGTCTGCTGAGCGGAGACCACCACTAGGGCCCTAAAGGGAATAACTGAACCAATGTCGTAAGTTGAAAAGGGATAAGGCACAGCCTCATGCGCCCTGTACATAATGCACAATGCCTCAACAGAAGAGGGGGAGCTCAGTCGCATGGCGAAGGTAGGGGTGGCCAGAAGGGCGGCGGTACAGCTCTCAGAGCAAACTCCAAGGGGGCACCCACACAAGCGGGTAAAGGTCATCAGGCTCAAGGAGAAGAGTAACACCACGACACCGGGCTCAATGGAAACCATCAAACGGGTACCGCCAGCTGAAAGGAACGGGGCACTCACACAAGGGAGTCCCCATAAGGTGAGCCTGGAAAGAGAGAGGGCTATGCCAACATAAACATGTGGCCAAAAGCCGCGAGCAAAGAAAACGTACAATCCAGAGGAGGGCGTGCAGCACAGGGTAAGGCAAAATGGCGGCAAAAAAACACACCCACAAGAGCAGGGGAAGTAGGGATCATCATGCGACTTAGGGGTGAGCTCAAAGGTGAGGGATAGATGTGAATGGGGAAAACTCGATAGACAATGGAAATGCAATAATCCAACTGAAGAAGCTCCACGATGAAGTAGAGTCAAAATGATGTAGTACATGGTGATGAGGTCGTCGAAGTAGCCACGCTGACGTATGAGCTGCACTGAAACCAAGTATAAGTCCGAAATGCTGCGACAGGTAATCCGCTGCTGAAGAAAAGCACTGAAGACGAAGGTCAGAAGTAGATCCTGTAACCGGGAGCTGCTGCATAAGTGTCCAAGAATAGTAGGAGGTAGAAGGGATATAGTGATCAGTCACGATAGCAAGATGGAGGTCGATGGGCACATTGAGGGCGAGACAAGTGGACTGCAACAATTGGCGGAACCACATGCGTAGGGGAAAGAGGACCCGAGGCAGGAACCGGTGGAGTAGGAGCATCCATCGATGTAGTAGAACAAATGTTAGTGGTCGTAGAAGTAGATGGGTCAGTGCGAGGACGAGAAGTAGAGCGGGAGAAAGATGGAGGGAAAGGGTGAGCACGATTGTAGGCAGCATGAATGCCATAGCATGCTCCAAGTGCTCGAGAGGCTCCCAAGAAGACTCCTCGTCGGGATAGCCCTTCCGGCGAACGAGATGCTCGAGGCGGGGAGGGTCACCATCGGTCATACGCCGGGACGCAATATCAGAGACGACAAACTCCTCGTGACCCTCAATTATGATGGGAGAAGGGTGAGGGTATGGTAGACCATGGAATTCAGGAGGAGACCATTGAAAGGGACAAAATAGAGATCCATGGAACACATCATGTAGATTGACGCGGTACATGGAACCCGAGAGCTTCAATTTGAAGCTCACAGAACAGTCATGATTGGGTCCGACGGGAGCAAGAATGGTGCATGGTCCAATACATCGACGCCTGAATTTCCTAAGCGTACCGGCTTCGGGCTGGAAGTGACGTGCTTCGACAAGGACCGTATCACCAACTTCGAAGGGATGGTTAGTATGAGAACGGTTGGCACTAGAAGCCATGCGAGCTTGGGAGTCGGCAATGCTCCGACGAGCCTTGCTAAGAAGCCTATCCATCTCCTTTACCCAATCATCAAAGGCAGGGCAGTTGGTGTCGGGATGGATCTGAGATGGACGCAGGAGGATGGGACATGAGGGTGGTATCCCAAATCACAGTAGTAGGGAGACATACCAGTCGCTCGGGAAATACCATGATTGTAGGCAATCTCTTCATGGGCAAGGTGAAGTTCCCAATCAGTGTCATTCTCAACAAACATCTTGAGGATATTCCCAAGAGTTTTGTTAGCGACCTCGGTCCGTCCATCTGACTGGGGATGATAAGAGGAGGAGAGGCGGAGCTCAGAGCCATAGATCTCATGGAGTCCACGCCAAAAGTGAGAAGTAAAGCGAGGACCACGATAAAAAACGATGTTAGTGGGAAGACCGTGATAAGTCTCAACGCTGATCCGCAAACAGTAGGGAATCGCTGGGAATAATTTTAATTGCTGACATGCATCACGGAATATTTATCAACATATTATTTCCCCCTTTCAGATCAGATTCTCCCCACAGGTTCTTTATTAGGAAGCGCGACCAAGTCAATTACCAGTCTCGATTTTAGCACAATCCAGCGAATGAGGCGATGCGGTTGAAATAGAGTGAGGCGATTTCTTTAGCCGAGCTAGCATATTTGCAAGGGAGGAAGTGAGCATGCTTAGTCTATCGACAGACGACGACGAAGATGGTGTCGTGGCCTCGTGGGGTGGGGGGACGAAGAGGACCCATGCAGTCCATCAAAACAGAGGTCCAACGCTGATTAGGGATGGGCAAGGGCTGAAGAGAACCGTAGGGGGGGTGGTTGGTAATGTTGGCCTCTTGGCAGATCCTACAGGTGCGGACGTACTCCTTAGTGAAAGGACGGCGGTGCTCCCAGTAGTAATGGTGGTAGAGGCGGTCGAGGGTCTTGAAGGCACCGAGTTGATCGGCGACGCGTCGGTTGTGACACTCAGCGACGACATAAACACGGAGCTGGCTAGTAGAGGGCACGCAGAAGAAGGGAGTACGGGTACCTTGACGACCAAGCTAGTATAGGTGTCGAGAGGGGTCAAGCTGGAAGTTAGGAAAAGTGTTGCTAGCCTGTAGGTCAGTGTAGATGGAATGAAACTCAGGGCACTGGATGTATGCACGACGATACTCGTCTGGAAAGGCAGGGTGGATGGTGGGGGCCGAAATAGCAGATAGCAGACGATCCTCACATTGAAGGTCGAGGCGGCAGGATAAGGCATTGACGGTGCGATTGCGCTCGCCGGAAATCTTCTTGATGGTGAAGTTGAACTCTGAGAGGTTACGCCACCAACAAGCCTGGCTAGAAGTGAGCTTAGGCTTCGTCTGGAAGGCGGCGAGGACATAGTTGTCCGTCAAAACAGTGAAGATTTGACCGTGCAAATGATGACGCCATTTCTTTAGAGCGTAGACCAACGCAAGAACCTCACGCTCGTCGACACTATAGTTACGCTCGACGGGAAGTAGTTCTCGAGAGAGGTAGGCAACTGAACACTCTCCATCGCAAGACTCAAATATACCATCATTAGCGACGTTGGGAAAGTATGGAGGTGGAGCGCAAGAAGATGTGGGCTCAATGGGGACGAGGTGAGCCACGGTCGTTGGAGGTGGGCGAGTGAAGCGAGGAACGCGAGGGAGACGAGGCTCTGTGGAATCAGGAGAAGTAGAAGGGGCTGGGTAGATCTGAGAGAGGACAACTCTAGCAGCGAAATTGAGGCGTCAGTGGTGACGATGAATGAAAGTGAGTAGTCAAGCAGGTGTAGGACATGAGCCGGAGTTCGAAGTCGCTTGAGAGAGCGGAAGGCGTCCTCATGAGCCGGGGTCCAATGAAAGGGTAGATGTTTGTGGGTCAGAGGAGTAAGTTGGGAAGAATACTGCACCTAGTTTTTTAGGAAGGGGACGTAGTAGTTGGTCATGCCCAAGAAACTACGCAGCGCCTAGAGAGTGGTAGGGGTAGGCCAGTTGACGATAGCCTGAATCTTCCAGTCGTCCATACGAAGTCCATGCTCAGATACCTGATGCCTGAGGAAATCGACCTTGGGATGAGCGAAGTGGGCATTTGGAGAGCTTCGCGTAGAACCCATGATCGTGTAATCGCTGCAGGACAATGTGAAGATGGGAAGGAGAACGGAAGCTCAGGCACCACATAGTTGACAAAGGACTTGGCTTGATTGTCACCAAGTGTGATGGTGACGATAGAAGGGTAGGCCGATGTATAAAGAAAGGCCTCCTTGACTACACGAGGATGTATAAAGTCGACGGTAGAGCGTAAGTCCCTTAGTGCGTGATACACCCTAGTGGAGGTCCCGAGGCGCACTAGAATAATAGGTAGGGTGTGGTCAGGGTTGTGTAAGCATTGGGACATCGTAGACAGGGTATGTTCTTTGAGGCGGAGATGTTCTTGGTTGACCTTAACACACTCGAGGTCCAGGAAGTCAATAATATCCTCGGCTGCGACAAGTGAAGCACTGCACCGGGTCGTGTGAAGAGCACGCCTGGTAGGAGGACGTGGAGCAGCGGGGTCACAGGAGACACGCAGCGAGGAGGGAGAAGCTACACCACCATCAATAATAGGAGCAATCAAAGAGATAGTCCCAATGGAGTCGTCATGGACAGTAGCAAGCGGCGCAAGGGAAGAGTCTCGAGCGGGTATGCCTGATACCGTAAAGGGCTCAAAGGGACGAGACATCGCGGTTAGGTGGGTGTTTCGGTGGAGCTCGAGGCAGGGGGA